CTGCGTTCCGCCGTGGCCCACGGCTGTCTCGGCCAGTCCCGAAGCATCGTCCCTGCCTGCCCTGCAGACCCCTGTTCGCCGTCTTCGCCTCTGTGACTGCTTCTGCTCCCTCCACTTATTCCCCCTCCTCGTCTACTTACTCCATTCCGTGCTCCTGGCGCTCCCCTTTCCTTCCCGCCTTCCTCCCCACTCGTCCTCCCTTCCCCATTCTCTCTCCTCGTCCTCCGTCTCCCGTGTCCTCCATGTTCTCCGTCGCTATTTGATGCTATTTGCTCCCCTCATTCAGCCCCTCATGATCCTCCCCGTCTTCATCCCCCTCCTCCTCCTCCTCCTCCTCCTCCTCCTCCTCCTTCTCCTCCTCCTCCTCCTCCTCCTAGTCGGCGTCGGAGGCTCAGGCACTTTGAGAACCGACGGAGAGAGGATTTTCCTGAAACAATCTCTCACGACTACCGCCCCGCACTTGCACGGGCCAGAGAGAGAGAGAGAGATAGCGGGGGGGCATGGAAGATAGATGGCGGTCGCATTGTGCTCGATATGTGCATTGATGAAACTTGTATTTTACAACCCACTGGCGGCGAGGACCACGGACATAGTGGAAGATATTAGCAGTGCGCTACGAGAGTGGGATGCGGTTATACGAACAAGGACGCACCAATAAGTAGGGCCAGAGCAAACGAATACGAATCATAGACACCATGTGGCACTGCAGTTCGGGGCAAAAAAGGGGAACTTGATCATTAAGACATGCGGCGCGACGTCCATGGTGTCCAACGAGATGATGAAAGACAAAGCTTTCCACACGCAGTACACACCACCTGCACAACTGCAAGGAAGAGCAGCAGGGGTGAGACTGCGCACGGAAGCTTACGATGCCACAATATTTCCTACGTGTTTGCCACCAGAGAACGGGTATATAGACAATGGGACGATCTCAAAAATATGAAGTGGGTGGGAGGAAGGTGTGGCGACACGGGCGGCAGATCTACTATCATAGCGGGGGGACATCAACAGCCAACTGGGAATGCACAGAGCGGACAACAGGGACTTGGTGGTAAGCAGGCACAGCTCGGGCAACCACGCGGCGGCAGTGGGACCAGTCGCTGAAGAGGTGGAAAACGACAACGGCACAGTTTTCAGGGAGTTATGCGTCCGCAGCTTATTGTCCGTAGTCACGACTTTCTTCGACTGTGGGCCAACTTACTATTGCGTGAAAGACAACAAAATACGGACGAGCAAGATCGATCGCATAGCGGTACCGACGGAAGCTTCACCGGACGTGCGAAGGTGCGCTGCAGTGAGAGGAGCGGCGAGAAAGCTGCAGAACATCAGAGCGAGAGAACCTAGAGACCACATCCGCTTGGGCATTGAAACCGGACTGGAACGCCATCATGATTTCTCGAGCAAGCATAGACAACAACGAGCAGACAAACATATTTCCACCGCCACCTGAAGGCTACGATGCCCCAGCAGCCAGGATAAGCATTAGCGAGGAGTGCGATCCAGGCGGATTCTGCCGAGCCCCAGGAGGAGCATTAGCGAGGTCATCTCGGAGGGCGATCCAGGAGGATTCTGCCGAGCTCCCAAGAGAAACGTTAGCGAGGTCATCTCGGAGTGCAAACCCTGGAGAGCGAACGGCAGAGGAATAATGGAGAGAGCTGCAGGACCGACCTGCAGCATATCAGACGCGGAAGAAATGGAGCGACGCAGGAAGAAATGCAATGCAATACATTTTTCCCGTCAAGAAGAAGCAGGATGACAAGGGAATAGCAGCCTTCCAGTTACTGTGGCATTTCCTTTTGGCTGAAAGCATGCAGTTCAGTGTGGACATGGTGGAGTCAGGCACGCAGGAGAGATTGGAAGGGAATCAAGGAGGAGCTGGCGCAGATATAACATGCGACACGTAGGCGCAGGGCAGATCCGGCAGTCGCGGGGGAAAGAGACTGGCAGAGGAGATACGGAGAGCGCGCGAGAACAACGACTTCAGCGAGATGTACAGGCTCAGGGTAGAACATCAGAGGCATGGGAGAGGACCAAAGAAGGGGTATTATTTCTCAGCGCGAACTTGGTGGAGCACAGAGGAACGGCCAGGAGAATTGGGGCAGCGTCCTCATGGGTAGGGAGTGGCAGCAGAGCCGATGGAGAGATGATCGCGGAAAAGATGCCGCCATCAATGGATGGGGATATGAGGGCCCAGGTGGAGAGGAACAAAAGAGACATGTTGAAGTGCTGCAGGAGGGCGGCCAAGAGGAGCTGCCCCCCCATGGGGGGTGCCTGTGGGACGTACCTGGATGATTCTGGATCCCGCGGTCAACCTGAAGGACCTTGAGCAGTTGAGCAAGAAGCTGGAGAAGCAGACGATGCGATCGGCAGAGCTGCGCGAGGACGAGGAGGATTTGGATAAGCACAGCCCACTCCACAAGTGCAGGGTGGGCAGGGCGACCCTACAGAAGATGGGATGGAAAGCGGGAGATTCTCTGGGCAGGACAAAAAGAGCTGATGACGGAGAAGCGTTGAGGGCGAATGAAACAACATCGCACCACCTGGGGAGATGCGAGAAAGCTGGGCCGGGGTCGGCAGCAATGGAGGCAGACGAGGGCATGGGGTGCAGGAGCAAGTTGCCTCACTAAGCGTCGCCAGCCCCAAGCTACGCCACTGGACTTCCACAGACCGATTCCGTTCTCTGCAGAGAAAGGCAATAACGAGCAGGGGATTGGAGGAAGAAGTGCGCCGCCTGCATACCGCCCCATGGGGATGGCTTTCCACAAGAGGATACATCGCAGAGGAAAAGCCCCGAACACCTTTGCTGGGCACGCGGAGGGCAACGAAATAGGTCAAGGGAGAACGCCGCGGCCTTTTTGTCGAAGCCGCGCAATGAAGAGTGAGACAAGCAGGGGTAAGCACCGCCGCTGGCAGCCATGACTGCACCTACGCCTTCGCGAGCACGAAAGTATCGGCATTCGCGACATCGAAGGAGGAGGACTTGCCATGCGCCGTCGGGGCGATCAACTACACGTCGATGAGTGCGGAATGCGCTGACGACTGGGTGCACTCGCTGACTACGCAGGGAGCGCAGATGGGATTCACTCTGCGCCCGCGGCAGTTCAGTGCTACCTACAGCCTATGCGCGGGACAATGGCGCCAGGAGGAGAGGGGGAGGGACGAGATGTAGACAGTGCATGATACGTTGGCCCCTGTTGCAGGCCAGGAGCGCGACCTGTCGCTCAACGCGCTCGTGGGCGGCATCGCCGAGATCCACGCAGTGGTTCCGTCGGGCCCACCCACCCAGGTGACGGGAGTTAGCGAGGAAATCTCGGAGCACCAGCCAGCTCTTGGCGAAATCGAGGACATTTCGGCGCGCCGGGAAGCGCCGGCTGGGAGGGAGGGCGGGCCACTGTTCCAGGCGAGAAGGATAGCGGAGCAGATCAACGCCGCCACGCAGCGATTGAAGCGCAAGCTGGCGCAGGGAGGATGGAGTCTGAACCCGGCCAGAACCAACCGCCAGGTTCCCCTTCGAGGCTCGCGGCGGGACGGGATCGCTCGACAGCTGCACGGGGCGAGGAAGCTCGAGGGCACGCCGATGAGGGGACGCGAGTACTGGGCCAATACCTGCTAGGGGATCAGGGCAACGTTGGAGAAATCAGGAGGAGATGTGAGGCCGTGAATATAGCTTACAGACAATGCGGTTGCTTTCGGTCTTCAGATACCACCGAAAAACTAAAGAAGGAGATGTTCCGAGCATTTGTATCAGGAGCGGGCCTTAGTGGGCTGATGGCACTTGTGCTGGAGGAGCGCCACCTCGGATCGCTCGACAGTGCTATGACAATGCTATTGGGGCGAATGGCAGGAGGCAGGATGAGTTGGACTCAGGAGGAGTGCATGCCCAGGTGCTACGCCAACAACGTGGTTCAAACTGTGTAGGATCCGCGTTGTGCGACAGCGCTGAGGATGCGCGGGCTACGACGGCATAGGGAATGGGCGAAACATCCCAGTGAATATGGCAGCGCATGTGCAGCTGTATTTTGTTCGTCGAATTTGGGCCGCCTCTGCGGAGTCACGAGATTGGAGAATGAGGGAACCTATGAGACGTCTACACCTTGGGCAAATCAGGTGGTCAATGGTTTTCAGGCACTAGCGGAGGTCAGCCAGGGCGTGGCAGGCTGGTGGCCGCTGAGGCAGCCAGACATCTCAATGTTTCAAAAGGGCACGGGGGACTGGGGAGCGTGGATCGGGGCGGACCCCCGCGTCCTACGGCATGCAGAGCGCACTTGGGATACTAAGTTACCAGAAGTATTAGTAGGGGAAGAGTTGTTCGCTCAGTATTGGTGCGACTGGGAGGCGGGGGCAGAGGGGCAGGTGCGCGGGGCGCAATTCGCCGCGGCGGCAGCGCATGCAGCGCACAGGAGAGCGGCGCACAATTTCATTCCATTGATCTCCCGCCTAGCAGTAACAAGTCAATGCCCATGGCGCCTGGGCTCATTCGCGACTGGAGGATTTGCGACCGACCGTGTCATGGGGCCACGGAGTGTCACGGGAATTGTTACAAAAACCGAAGTTGTTGGAATCACCCCGTTTAGGAGCCCCCCTAGGCGGCGCTCTCTGTGGTTTTCGGGCTCGATCGTTGGGGGATTGCGTGCGCTGCCGCCATCCTGGCCCGCGCTGCGTCTGGATTCATAAAGGCGGCGAGTGCGCCGCGGAGACTGCCCCCGTCCAGCAGGGGGGGCAGGCGCGGAGAAGGAAGGGGAACCGAAGCACTCCAAGGGCGGCGAGGGCAAACGCAAGGACCAGTGGGCGACACAAGGGGCAAGCGCCAAGGCGGCAGGAAGCCCGCCCGCGGCCGCGGCCGCGGCTGCGGGGGGGGGGGCGGCTAGGGCGGGGGGGGGGGCCGCAGACCCCCCCGCCAGCAGCCGCAAGCAGCGGGGGACTACGAGGAGATCGACCTCAGATGATGCATCGACGGACTCCAGCGACTGGCTCTCCGCTCAGCGGCAGAGACGAAGGAGATGGGCCACATGGCCGCCGACTTCTATATCATGCCAGTCAGCAATTTGGCGTTTCAGAAGTCGCCGGCAGCGGACAGAGCTACGGGAACCAGGTCAGGGAGAGAGGCGAGGGGCGCATGCTGGGGCCGCCGGGCATCCACGCGGGGATGCCGCTCCTGGAGTGCACCCTGGAGATAGTGTCGGATTGGCAGAAGGAAGATCCTACAACAGTGGCAGCGTCGGTGGATCGGGCGATGGACGCGCTGGGCGACGTCCTGATGATGGTGGACAGCAACGGCGAGCACAGCCAGGCCATGGTCACAGAGACCATCAACATGTGCAAGGTCAGCGAGAGCTACGAGGCCCGCAACAGCAAGAACAGGAACCCGAACGTGGACGAGCAGCAGTCCTGGGGGGAGGGCTCCAGCAAGATCCAGATCGAAATCAACGGGGCCCCCAACTTCAGGGCAGCGCTACCGAGGGGCGCGACAGAAGAGACCACGGCGAAACTGGACCAGTTCTCGGGCCGCGACCTGAGGAGTGGGGATGCCGATAGTCTTCGTGGGAGGCAAGAACTCTCAGTCGGTGGCGCCCAAGTCGGATCTGGAGAAGATGGTGGAACGGGAGCTTCGGCGTCGGCGCCGCCGAGAAAGGAGGGGGCAGTTGCGTTGGCGAGGGCATCTCGGAGTGCAAAAACCTCAGGACAGAGTGCCAGACCGCGGCTGTCGCGGACGATCACCTTTACTGCCCCTCCGACGGCGTCCGCGTCGAGCTCTGAGAGAGCCGCCCTCGGGGGGCCCGCCCCGGGGCAGTCGGACATCGCAGGAATGCCCAACGGCGGACAGGCGAAGAGGAGGAGACATATTTCAGATGATGAAAGGATAGGGGAGTCAATCAGCATGGACGTCGAAGGCCTCGCTAAGCTTAGACGCTTCGCCGCGGAAGGTAGGACGCACGAATTGGCCTTAAAGTTTCGAGCACAACGGGAGGCGACTTTGCAGAGGAACGCTTCGGGAAGAGGCCCCCCTGGTAGCATGGCAGCAACCCGCCCCCCCCGTCCGAGTCAGTTGCCGACGTCGTCTATTATGGCGACACGATATTTATCTACAGCCCCCTACCCCATTACAGCTGCGGAGAGACGGCGGGCGATGATTTTTGCATAATGCACAGCGCGCGCAATGTGGAGATGGGCCACGGACAGCGGGAGGGGGAAAAGCGGGGCCATGGCACAAAGTGCTACGCGATGTTCGGGGCAAGTGGGCAACGCACTTCAACCTTCATCGTTTATCTTCGGCCCCCGCAGCCAATCTGGCTCGGCGACGGCCCAGGTGCGCAGTGTTGCGCACTAGCGGGGGGGGCCCGGGGAGCGGGGCGCTGGGGGCTGCCCGCGGCCTTCGGACAGCGGCCAGCTATGGCCCTGCGGGCGATGCAACAAGGGGTTCGGGTACTACAATATGATCGAGAGCCACAGGGAGCACGCCAACAATGCGCCGGGGCGCGAAAAAGATCAAGGAGGCAAAGAAAGTCAATGGAAGAGGGCGTGCGCTGACTGCGTGCGAGCTGGAGCTCAGGCAGGAGGAGTGGGGTCGAGTGGAACGACGAGGAGAAGATGCGACATGGAGGAGAGCAGTGCGTTACGAGGGAGCAAGTATGTCGAGAACAGAAAAGGAAATCAAACGGAGCCGCGTGGGCAGCTCAGTCCCCGGGGCAGATCCAGGGGGCGAAAGAGTTCATTGAGGCCGAGGAAGGACCGAAGAAACAGTTTCGCAATCAGCTGAACAAGATGGTCATCGAGAGGCCCAAGGAGATGTCAAAGGCACTGCTGGGGGGCATCAAAATGAATAGGGGGCATCTTCGCAGACTTCAGGAAGGCAGGGGCAGGCGTGGTAGATCCCTCAAGGTGTGCTGAAGAATATGACATCCTGCTGAACAAATACATGGCCATGGACGTCGAGGACGAAGAGGCGCCGAATGCAGCCAAGATGGAACTGGGTGAAAACAAAGAGAAGGAGCTGCACGATATGGGTGACTACATGACGGCGAAGAACATGGGGGAGAAACAGACGAAGAACCTCGAGGGTCCGGACTTCGTGGACATGTGGGGCGGCAGCGTGCAGCTGTTCAACGCGTGCAGGAGGAACGCAGGGCGGGACGCAACAAATGGCATCGCCTGCTCGCGCGGACTCGCCTTCCCTAACAAGCTGTGGTGCCAAGGCCCTGGCCCCCATTTCACGGGGGGCCAGTGGAGGTTCCGGCGCAGAGTGGGCCGGGCGCAGTCGGCGAAGGCGCGGGGAAACCGTCCAGAAGACCAGCCCATGAAAGAGTGGGTGGGCAAAATGAGGTACGACCTCGACAAGGACAGCGAGAATCGGCGCGACGTCGGGCGCAGGCCGATGTTCCACCCGCGCAAGAGGGGGCCTTCAATGGTAGTGGGGCTCATGGTAGGAGAAAGGTGGGAAGCGTTCGCTGCGGACAGGCTGCCGCGGAAGCTAGGCGATGCCATCGATGGGAACCATTGCGCGTTCTGCGGCGCCGCCCAGAAGATGAGCCCAGGGGGGCTCCTCGAGCTGATCCCAATGTCCTTCCCGAGGTTGGTTGCGCAAGGTCGAGGGCTGCGCGCTTATCGCGCGGTGCCCAGTTGACGCGCGGGAGAGCTGGGAGCAAGGCCCTCGCCGCGCAGAGCTGGCGAGAGCTGGCGCTGGAGATTTCGAAGGATGACGAGGAGAAGCTCTGCAGCGCCATTATGGTTGCCTTGAAGGAGATGAAGAACGAGGACGCATTCGACCCAGAGGAAGTAGAAAAGGTTCAAAAGGCGCCAGCAGCTGCGATGCAGCGCGAATGCCACGTGATCTTCGAAACGTACGCCAAGTCGGAGGAGGCGGCCAGCTCCAGCGGCCGCAAGTGAGAGAGCCCACTGGCAGCGCCAAGAGGTGGATAAGCGAGGATCTCCTGGAGTGCGACTCTCGGCAGGCAGGGCGGGCACTCTCAGTGGGGCCATCCCTACCGTGGTCATCTAGGCGCGAGGGCCCTCAAGAGAGTGTTCGCGCAGACAACGTCTTTGGAAGTAACTTCCTGGAGTGCTGACAGGTGCGCTGCTGCAGGGGGGCGAGGATGAAAAAAATACGATACTCACGAAGGCCACCAGAGCGCATCCTCGAGGGCCCCACCTCCAACGTACCGCGACTATCAGCATGCTCTTCCCTACCTGCACTTCGAGGGGGCACAGTGGGATACTGCTGCAGGGTAGCAGGGTACAGATGCGACAACGCATGGGGCAACTATCGGCCAGCGCGCTCTGGAAGAGAAGCGAGCCGAGAGAAAGAGGAGACAGTGGGATAGCATGGAACCAGTCGGATAATTTTGGCCCCCCAGCAAAGGTTTGGAAAGCTTGGGCCTCCCGATTATCCTCCTCTTCTCCTTTTGAGAGGTCGCGTCGTCGTCTTTTCCCCGTAGCTTGGGGGCCCTGCTCGCCCAGCGCGTTCCCAAGTCCACGGGCGCGCGAAAGGGCCGACAGCTGCTCCCCCCGCGCCGACCCGCAGGGACTCGTATTCACAAGGTAGCGAGCCCCCCATTACGGGGCCACCTCGGAGCTCACCCTTGGGAGCTTCGGGGCATGCCCCCTGCGGGCCCTTGTGAGACTTCAGGGTGGTTGCACAACCGAATCGCAGGGGATTTTGCCAAACGCGCGCAAGGCACCAGTGTAGAGTGTAGATGTGTTGACGTCGACCCCTTATGCGGATGTCCTGTCCTGTCCTCCTCCTTTTCCCCCTCCTCCTTCTATTTATCGTGCTCTCTGCCTTCCGCCATTCCTTCTCTTCCACATCATGCTCCTCCTCCTCACCGTCCTTTACGTGCAAGAGCCATGGCACACATGCCACTTCTGCTGAAAATCGATGAGCGAAGCCTTCATCGAGCTGAGCCATGTGAGCCGCACGTTGGAGTACGAGTGATATCCAGACATCTCTCCCTCTCTCGACCCCGCTGGCCTCAGACATCCTTTCCTCTCTCGACCCCGCTGGCCTCCTCCAGGGATGCCCAGGATGAGGACGAGCCGCTTTCAGAGCGTTCTGGAACGCTCTCAAAGCATTCTGAAGCATCCTTTGGGCCCGCCGCCTTTCTCAGAGATCCCCTTTCTTGTCCCCGTCCGAGTCTGCCCTTCGAGTAGGAGACACACCGCAGAGCTGCGTCACCCGAAAATTGCTTTCTTTCGCCGAATCAAGGAACATGCGTATAATGTCCCGTAGATCCACGGAGCATCCTGCGTCTTTGTTCGCATGCCCTCGCGCCGCCGCTCAGGAGCAGACCTCCGGCGACTCCGTCGCCTTCGTGACGGACGGGCCCTGGGACCTCGAGGTCCTCGGGCGGGGCCCGGACAGGGGGCGAATCGCTCCCGGCCGCCCCGGCGCGCCCTCGGAGCGGAGCGGCCTGGAACGGCCGCGGCGCCCGGCGCCCGGCGCGTCCTCCAGGACCGCCAGAGATCAGAGATCGGGGGCGGCAAAGAGGGGGGGGGTTGACTGGGGGGGGGTGGATATCATGGCGGGGGCCATGATACGGTAGAGGGAAACAATTAGTGAACACCCCCCCTGCCCCCCAAACTCAAAGTTGGCACGCGGGGGGGAGAGACTGCGGTCGAGGTGCAACGCATCAGACCCACCGCCAACTTTGAACATTGGGGGGAGGGGGAGGCGTTCACAGATGAATGTGGCATGAGTGTTCGCTATTTTTTTCCGAGGCCTGTATTTCCCCAGATTTCATGGCGCCTCCTCTTGTTTCATTGCGTCCCTGGCCCCCCCGCTGGGCCGCGCACGTGCCGCCGGTCATGATGTGCACCCCCCCTTCTCGGGCACCCCCCTCTTGGCCGCTCCCGAGTATACCCCCGGTGCATCCTCGCCCGACTGCGTCCCTGTCCTCGGGCGGGTGGTTCATGGGGGTGACGTGGGCGCGGGGTGGAGAAGAGGGCCCTACCGTGGCCACTGCCGGCTCCCTGCAGGGTCAGGGTCAGGAGGGAAAAAACACAGACACAATTAATCGTCGATTCCCCAGATAATATGGGACAATATGGGAAGTGAGGGGGAAGACACAAATCCAGAAAATACAAGACAATATAGGGAATCTTGTTATTTGTGTCTATTGATTGGTGTGTCCTGGGGCCCCTTCATGTAAGGCTGCCCCCCTTCACCACCCGCTCCTTGCAGGATGCAACCGGCCGGTTGAGACAGCGAGGGCTACCCAGCCCCCTTGACGAGACCACGGCCTCATGACCCCACAGGGACGCGTGGGAGGTTGCCGCGGGTCGGCGCCTCGCCAATCCTCGTCCGATGGTGTCCCTGTCCTGGGAGGGGTCCAAGCGGAGGCGCTTCGTGGGGAGCCGCAGGCAGCAGGCTTGCGCAACGCTGTCGTGTGTGTGGGGGGGTGGGGCAATTTGCACTGGCCGTGCGAATCCTGCCTGCCTGTGGCGCGACAACGCATGATGGGGCTGGGTTCCATGGAAAGGCAGACTGTGCCCCTGTCCTGGCCTCGCCTCGAGGTCATGCTGCCCGCCCAGTGGCGCCTGGCGCACGAGGAGCCGCGGCGCCCGCCGGGCGGCGGCGGCCCGCCCTGCTCTGCTCCCTGGCGCCATGCGGCGGCCCGGGGAGGCGGCGGCCCTCGGGGGCCCATCGTGCGGAGGGTCCCCTGACTCCGGATCCGCCCTACTTTGGCTTTTTTTCCAACTTAAAATTGCGTCGGAAATCCACCTAGAAGAGGCCGAAAAAGTAGGGCGGAAATTGCTGCACCCAACATAAAATAGGGCGGAAATCCACAGAAACAGCGACAGAAAAGTAGGGCGGAAATTGGCATCAGCGGGGCTTGAAAAGTAAGGCGGAAATTCCAAGCCCCACTTACGAATTTCCCCAAAGTAGGGCGGATCCGGAGTCAGTGTCGGGTTCCGCCGGGGGCCCCTCTTTCAGAACATGATCACGGTAGAGGGAAACATTTAGTGAACACCCGCCCTGCCCCCCAAACTCAAGGTTGGCACGCGCAGGGGGAGACTGCGGTCGAGGTGCAACGCATCAGACCCACCGCCAACTTTGAACATTGGGGGGAGGGGGAGGCGTTCACAAATGAATGTGGCATGAGTGTTCGCTATTTTTTTCCGAGGCCTGTAGGTACCCACACGGTCGGACCGAGGTCGGGGATCGAGGTCGGTTCGGGGAGGGTACCCCAGTGTTCTTCTTCGTGCTTGTTGGATGCTCTTGTGCATCCTGGGGGAGGGTTCGCTTGGGTGTTCTGTGTGTTTTGGCCAGCGGAAAGTCTCATGTTCTTGAAGGATGTTCTTCTGTCCTAGGGCCAGCCGTGCCGCCACCCCTCGCCCGTGTTCGCCTTCTTGGTCCTCCTGGGAGGCCCTCGTCGCCACCGCTGGATGCGCTTCGAGATTCTGGTCAGTGCTACCACCCGCATGCGTCCCCCCCACCCAGTACAGCGTTTCGTGGCCCCATAAGGGAGCTCCACCGACGGCCCCAGTGCTAGCGCCAGCATGCGTCCCCCCACCCAGTACTACGTTTCGTGGCACCGCAGGGAGCTCCACCGACAGCCCCATAGCTACTGCCCGCATGCGTCCCCCCCACCCAGAACAGCGCTCCGTGGCTCCATAAGGAGCCCGACCGACGGCCCCAGTGCTACCGCCCCCATGCGCCCCCCCCCCCCCCCCCCCCCAGTACAGCGTTTCGTGGCCTCATAAGGAGTTTCACCGACGGCCCCAGTGCTACCACCCGCATGCGTCCCCCCCACCCAGTACAGCGCTTCGTGGCCCCATAAAGGGGCTCAACCGAAGGTCCCAGCGCTACCGCCTGCATGCGCCCCCCCCACCCAGTACATCGTTTCGTGGCCCCATGGGGGGCTCCACCGACGGCCCCAGTGCTACCGCCCGCATGCGTCCCCCCCCACCCAGTACAGCGCTTCGTGGCCCCATGGGGAACTCCACCGACGGCCCCAGTGCTACCGCCCGCATGCGTCCCCACCACCCTGTACAGCGTTTCGTGGCCCCATGGGGAGCTACACCGACGGCCCCAGTGCTACCGCCCGCATGCGTTCCCCCCAGTGCTTCGTGGCCACATAGGGAGTTTCACCGAATAAGATATTCATAATTGCGGTACTTGCAACTGCATATGGTTGGGTCCTTTGCCAGGATGTTTTTTTGCAAGGGATTATTGAAAATTGATGATTTGTGATGCACGAATGCGCGCGCATGGCGTTTTTTGCAGAGGACGGGGGGGCCGATACCAGCCTGGCTGGGATGGTATGCGTTCATATTTAGGATGGACGATGGGGCAGAATCGTATGTAAATTGCAATACCAAAAGGGGTACCGATAATCCCGGGGGTGGGTAGAGCTTATTCTCTTTCTAGAGAAGAGAGTCTATGTGGAGCAACCAATGTGGCGGCCTCGAGGCGGCGACGGGGCGGCGACGGCGGCAGCATAGCCGCTAGACCGGCAGACAGGCCCAGACGACGGTCGGCGACGAGGTGGCGACGGGGCGGCGACGGCGGCAAGATAGCCGCCAGACCGGCAGGCAGGCCAGGTTCCTTATAGCAAGCATTGTTTGGGGAAAAGCCTTCAACATGGCGGTCCGACCTCCATGCTAAAGGCTTTCCCCTCCATTCTGAAGGCACTTCCCCTCCAGAATGGAGGTTTTTGATCCTCTGGGTCGGGGCGGAAGGGCGGCAGGCATGGGGAGAGGGAGGGGACGAGAGGGAGAGGGGTAGAGGAACTAGCCATGAGACCCAGGCGTTGCAATTTTTGTCACACCTGGCGTTTTCGCCCGGGCACTGGCCAGCTGACCGCACTGTCCAGGCCTGTTGCTAAGGGGGCGCCACTCTGGATTACTCACCCCCTGGCAGCCAGAGCTGAAGGAAGAAGGTGGGGGGCCCAAAGAATCTACACCACCACCACGTCGATTCCTCTTCTCTCCTCTGTCCAGCGAGAGGGAGGGGGAGGGAGGGAGGTGGTGGTGGTGGTGTCTATTTTTTGGCCCCCCAGAAAGGGGCACCGTCGCAGTCGTCGTGGCAGGCAGCAGGCGCCCCGACGTGGCCGGCTGCAGGCTGCGCGCGTCTCGGCGGCGCTGGTTGGGTAGACGCTTGGTGTGCCTGGTGTGCAGACGTGCCCAGAGCAGCGAAGAGATCGACAGCTCCCATCCGCTCGCTGTGATTGTATGTGATTGTGCGAGTGCGGAGAGACGTGGGGACACCGTTGCCGTGGTGCCCGCGTGACCCTGCTGCCGAAACCGCGACACCGTGCGACGCAGCCAGGATGCGGAGGTGCCAGCCGTGTTCCAGCAGTACGTGGACCTGCGCACCGTCTTCCGAAGGATGGGGCAGAAGCGGCGCCGGCGGTCGCGGCAGCGGCGGCGGAAGGTGCATGTCGCAGCAGCAGGATGAGTGGCGACAGCAGGAGTGGCAGCAGCAGCAGAGGACGCAGCAGCCGAAGAAGGGCAGCGGCAGAAGGAGCTGCAGCAGCGGAGGCAGTGGCGGCAGCGGAATCAGGGTGGAAGGCCGAGATGGGGTCGGCGAGAGAGTGAGATGATCCCAGAGGTGTCCATGACAATGCCCTCATCATTTCTGGAACTGGACGCGTCTCAGTGTAATGAGCCGCGGTGCGCAGGGCTGGCTCAGGAGGGTAGTCGTCAAGGAGTCCGCCGACCAGAAAGAACCCCTGTGCCTGACGCCCGCACATACCATCACAATCTGGCTCGATTGCGCAGGCCGCGATTCGCGAGATGCTACCGATGCGATAAAGCGATCAGCAGCCGCCTGTGATGCGAACAACGCTCCTCGAGCCTGACGGCTGCGCGCAGGTTCTTCGCGGGCACAGCCTGCCTCTGCATGGCCCAGAACAGGGCTTGGATCGCGTCGGTACGATCACCCGCGCCTTCAGTGCTGCACCAACATGGCTTGGGGCCTCAAAGCAGACTGGGCCGCGCCGCCGGGCCACTGGGCCACTGGGCCACTGTCCTCTTCCGCACTGCCTTCGGAAGGGGCAGGGTCGGCACGCCGTTCTTCCCGGGCGGTCTCTTCCCTCGTCTCAGGAGGAGGAGGCGGAGGAGGAGGAGGAGGAGGAGGAGGAAGAGTTGCAGGAGGAGGAGGAGGAGGAGGAGGAGGAGGAGGAGGAGGAGGAGGAGGAGGAGGAGGAGGTGGAGGAAGAGGAAGAGTTGGAGGAGGAGGAGGAGGAGGAAGAGTTGGAGGAGGAGGAGGAAGAGGAGGAGGAGGAGGAAGAGTTGGAGGAGGAAGAGTTGGAGGAGGAGGAGGAGGAGGAGGAGGAGGAGGAGGAGCAGGCTCCTGCCCGGGCGCCACACCCGCCGCGCCTCGAGGCGGTGCACCCCCTGCGGCGAGCGCTCCGTGCCGAGTGCCGGCGGCGCGTGGAGCGTCGCGGGGCAAGAGGGCGCCGACCCCTCTCGGCGACGAGCGGGCGATGGGGGCTCGGGGCAGCCCCCCGCTGGGCCCATCCCCTGCCCCTATGGGGCCACGAAACGTTGTACTGGGTGGGTGAAACGCATGGAGGAGGGGGAGGAGGGCCACGAAACGCTGTACTGGGTGTGCGGGACGCATGCGGGCGGTAGCACTGGGACCTTCGGTGGGGCTCCCTGTGGGGCCACGAAGCGCTGTACGGGGTGTGCGGGACGCATGCGGACGGTAGGGAGGAGGGGGGAGGGGGCACGAGAGGAGGAGAGCGCGGGGACCGTCTCTTCAAAGCGAGGACCCAACACCACAGGATGGTTGGGACAAATACCTCTCTGTCCCGTGTCTCTCTCTCTCTCTCTCTCTTGTTCCCCCCCCGGCCGCGAGAGCGCACGAGGCGGGCGGCGCAAAGTCCTTGGACCGACGCCCGGCGATGACACGTGGCGTGTCTTTTGTCCCACGGCTCGGCACATGGCCGGGAGGGGGCTCAGGGTTCCACGCTGGTGGCGTGTTGGCTCAGGGGGGGAGTGCGTCTCAGGAGCGAAAGAAGGACGTACACGTACATGAATCCGCGCTGGTTTCGAGAGTCCGCATTGCGCGACTGTTCGTATCATGCGGCCGGTCTCGCGGGCCAAGGGGCCGTGTTCATGTGCATCGTTGGGCGCGTACGTCCTTTGTGGGCTCCCTAGCATCGACCCCCAGTCGCCCGCTGCTCGCCGAGGGGGGCCCGATGGCCCAACCCCGCCCGGGACCGCGCGGTTCCGCGATTCGGGGCCTACCGTTAGGTCGGGCCTGTCCCCCTTACAGGGGGTTTTTTGGCCGAAAAATAAAGAATACCCCGGAAATGAAGAACACCCCAGAAATAGTAAAAAGTAATCTGAAAATAGTCTGGGGACTATTTTTGGGGTATTGTTTTACCTTTTTGATGTACTTTTAGGGTATTTTTTATTTTTCGTCGAAGCTCCTCCTGTAGAGGGACACGCCCGACTTAAGCCTACCGGTGATGTCTCGTCGATTCCAGCAGCATCGTCGTCGTCGTCGTGGGCGTCGGCGCCGGCGTCGGCGGGCGCCCGAGCCGCCGAGCGGAGCGCCCGCCCCGCGTGCTCGTCGGGCGAAGCAGGGGCGGGTCGAGCCACGAGCGTTAAGTCGGGCCTGTCCCCCTACAGGGGGATTTTCGACGAAAAATTAAAAAGAGCCTTGAAATAGTCCAAAAATAGTCCAAAAATCGTCTCTGGCCTATTTGTTCGTATTTTTGTTGCTTTTTGGGGGGCATTTTTAGGGTATGTTTTTTTGATTATTCGTCGAAAATCCCCCTGTAGGGAGGGGGCATTTTTAGAGTATGTTTTTTTTGATTACTCGTCGAAAATCCCCCCTGTATGGGGGACCGGCCCGACTTGCCACGAGCGGCGAGCGGGCGTGTCCGTGTCCACGCCCTCACGGTCTGGACCCTGGGTCGGGGGAGCGTAAGACCCGGGTTTGCCAGGGCTCGGGCTCGCCATCGTTTTCTGACGACCGCGCCTCGGATTTTGACGAGGAGGAGCTTCGTGGGATTGTCTGCCGCGGGAGGCCTCGTCAAGATGCAGGCTCGGCCTCGTCATTTTTCTGACGACCTCGTCGGGGATTTCCGAGTCCCCTGTACCCAGGCCTTACGTCCCCCTGACTGGGGGTGCGATCCCGTGGATGCGCGTCCGCACGGATTGCGCTCCGCGCGAGGGCACCCCGCGGAGGGAGCGCCCCGCACCTGCCCACGGCGGTCGCGCGCCCCGGGGGGGGCCTGGCCAGCGAGGCCGCAGCGACGGCTGGCGCCTCCCGCCCGCGAAGGACCCAGACCCCCTCGAGTCGTGACAAAAATCGCGACGTGAGGTTTTTCTATATTTTTGGCCCGTGGGGGCCCTTACAGGCCCTCGGGGCCGTCAAAAAACGATCCAGGACGAAAAACCGGTCCCGGGGAATGGGTCGAGACCCCGGGGGGTCGACGTCATGAAAAAAATCATGGCGTCGGGGGTCTGGGGCGAGGCCGCAGAGACGGATGATGCTTCCCGCACGCGAAGGAGGCAAAAGCTTGTCCGCTATCGGGGGTGCACTGCCCCACGGCGGCTGGAAGGCCTGTGCCCGAACGAACTTCGGCAGAGCGGGGGCACAAGCTCTTCCCAGCCGTCCTGGGTCAGGCCCAGAGGAGCGTCACAACCTTCACTTCGGAGGTCGGACCTCTCCGGGCTGGAAGCCACGCTTCAGAGTGGAAGGCGGGCCTCACCAGCCTGAGGGCTTCTTTGACCCTCTGGATGCGTCCCCGGTGCCAGAAATGCTGCTCACACCTCCTCCTCCTCCTCCTCCCTCCTCCTCCTCCTCCTCCTCCTCCTCCTCCTCCTCCCCTCCTCCTCCTCCTCCTCCTCCTCCTCCTCCTCCTCCTCCTCCTCCTCCTCCTCTCCTCCCTCCTCCTCCTCCTCCTCTCTCCTCCTCCTCCTCCTCCTCCTCCTCCTCCTCCCACCCTTCCCACCCTTCCCACCCCGCGCCTCTTCCGCGCCCGCCTGCGGCGCCCCCCGCGCGCGCAGGACGCACCCCTCGCGCCGCACGCCCCGCGCCGGCAAGCTCCACAAGATGTGCCGAGCGCTGGCCATCGACCCCGTGGGCCGCGCGGGGGCCCTGCCGCCGGGCCGCCTCTCCGCCGCCGTGTCTCGGCGGCGGTGGTTTGCGGGCTGCCGCCGGCTGCTGCTGCCGGCTGCTCCCGCTGTCGGCATGCCTCGCCGTGCTCGGAGCCTCGGCATCCGGCAGAGGGGCTCGAAGCGGCGGAAGGTCTCGGGCCGCGTCTCTCTCAGGACCCCTCTTCCTGCACGTTTTCATGCCAGGGTGGCAGGTCTGACTAGGGGAACAAAAAGTGGCATAAACATAAAAACTCGGAGGTCCGCGCGGATCTCTCGGATCCGCGCGGGACCCCCCTGGCGGCGCTTCCGGCGCCGCCCCTGGCGCGCTCCGCGCGCCGGGGAGGGGGGCCCAGCGCGGATCCGAGAAATCCTTGCGGATTTGCGAGTTTTTAAGCTTACGATAGAGGGAAGCAATCAGTGAACACCCCCCTGCCCCCCAAAACTCAAGGCTGGCACGCGCGGGGGAGACCGCGGTCGAGGTGCAACTCATCAGACCCACCGCCAAGTTGGAACATTGGGGGGGAGGGGGAGGCGTTCACAGATGAATGTGGCATGAGCGTTCGCTATTTTTTTCCGATGCCTGTCGCTCGGACGTGTGCATGGTCTTCTCGGCCAGGGCTATCGAGGAACGTCTTGGATCACCCTGCGAGAAGCGAGCGCACGAAACCGAAGCCATGCACAGGGAACGGACTTTCGAGCGATGGCAAGGTTTGGTGCACATGGGTAGGCGGTGAGAACTTCGACCGTTCGTTCATTGTGGAACTATTGCGCACAATAGGGCGCAAGTGTCGTGGATGGGGCGTTAACTATTGCACGGGCGGACAGCATCTGTTGCATGCGCAGCAGCTGCAGAAGCGCATCCGCGCGCGTGTGTTGCACCCAGCGCGCAAAAACTATTGCAAACCAGGCGCCGACGGTTGCAAATCAGGCTGCACGTCTCCGCGCGGATCCATCTGCGTCAGACCTGCCACACTCGCATGGTGGTTTTCTGATTTGGACACTATTGGCCGCCATTTTGTGGTCGATGTCGAAGAGCAAACAGTTTGTACGATGATGAACAAATATGAGGAAAAGAGGACAAGCTTGCGCAATTGCCACAAAACATGCGGGAACAGGGGTCCTGCGAGAGAGACGCGGTCCGAGACCTTCCGCCGCTTTGAGCCCCCAGGGGCCCTCCACGGGCCCCCGGGACTGTCAAGCAGGCGGCCGATCGGGACGAAGGGCCGGGACAGGCCTCGGAAAAAGATAGCGAACACTCATGCCACATTCATCTGTGAACGTCTCCCCCTCCCCCCAATGTTCAAAGTTGGCGGTGGCTCTGATAAGTTGCACCTCGACCGCAGTCTCCCCCGCGCGTGCCAGCCTTGAGTTTGGGGGGCAGGGGGGGTGTTCACTAATTGTTTCCCTCTACCAGACTCCGGGGGAGAGCACCAGGGTCCAGGACCCGTTGCCCTCGGGGCCCGCTTCCAGAGGAGCCATGAAAACGGCGTCAACATAGTCATTCGAACACCTGCGCTTAGTTCTTGGATCTACGCTGGACCCCGCTCCCTGAAGCGCAGAACGCGCCAGGGGCGGCGCCGGAGGCGCCGCCGATCCAAGGAACCCGCGCGGACCTCCAGAAGTTGTTGTTTATGTTCTTTGTATCTCTCCGACTTCCTTCATGGACAGCTGCAGGCTGGCGGGCTGGATCCTGCTACTGCTGCTGCGCCCCTCCGCCCCTCCATGGCCAACCCTTGGGATCCGTCGATGCTCCTCCTCCTCCTCCTCCTCCTCCTCGCGACAAGTCGCGACCGGAGCCCTGAAAATCTAACCTTCCTGCAGCATTTTTTTCTGGCCGGATCGATCTGTCATATGGCCCAGGGCCCGAAGCCGGGCGAGAGTGCCCGGTGTGAAAAAATTGCAGCGCCCGGATCTGCGGGGCTGCTTGCTGGCTGGCTGGCTCCTGCTGCTGCTGCTGCCGCGCTCCTCCGCTCCTGTCCTCGCTCGCCGGGCCTGCTCAGCCTGCCGTCCCTGTGCTGCGAGCAGCTGCCGCCGCGCAGCGGAGGAGGCGGAGGCGGAGGAGGAGGAGGAGGAGGAGGAGGAAGAAGAAGAAGAAGATGAGGAGGAGGAGGAGGAAGAGGAGGGAGGAGGAGGAGGAGGATGAAGATGAGGATGAGGATGAGGATGAGGACGATGATGCTGATGCTGATGATGATGATGATGATGATGATGATGATGATGATGATGATGATGAGGAGGAGGAGGAGGAGGAGGAGGAGGAGGAGGAGGAGGACCAGTGTACACCCAAGACGCATCAACATGGTGCAGTAGACCTTCCCTCCAAGTTCATTTTCCATGGGTCCCTACGTAGAACAATTCATCCTCGTTGCGGGATGAGCCCCGTTGGAAGACAACCGTCTGAGAATCCCCTGTCGCTCAAAAAGAGAAAAAGCATCATTCCTGGGTCTTCACAGCTGCGATTCAACGTGACTGCTGCGTGCTGACAATCCTAGATCGTGCGAGAACACCGTTCCTGAGACTCGAGATCCACATTCTGAAAAGGAACTACTCTCCATCCTTGAAGATACTGCAAACTTTTAAGACGAATATACTCGTCGCTAAGGCGAGAGTCACATTGTGAAAACGACCCGCCCTCTATCCTTGAACCCGCTGCAAACTTATAAGACGAGTGTGCGAGGCGCTAAGGCGAGAGCTACGTTTTGAAAAGGACCCGCCCTCCATCATTCAGCCTGTTGCAAATGTCAAGCTTCAAGGTCATAAATGATGAGGAACCATTTGGCGAAGCGCCCGGCGCCCTGCCGACATGTCTGGGCGTGCGACAGGAAGGAGTCATTCATAAGGCAAAGGAATGGAGGAGGAGGAGGAGGAGTAGGAGGAGGAGGAGGAGGAGGGGAGGAGGAGGAGGAGGGGAGGAGGAGGAGGAGGAGAAGGAGGAGGAGGAGGAGGAACAAGAATTAGAAGAAGAGGAGACCACTGTGCGCACGAGGAGGGAGGAGGGAGGGGACGAGGGGACAAGGCAGGCTCCCCTTCCCCACCTTTGACAAGCACGTTGGGGATTGGCGTGCGTTAGGTGCTGCTGCGCGCTGGGGAGCGGGTCCACCGCCGATCCAAGAAACCCGCGTGGACTTCCGACAATTGATATTTGTGCCGTTTTCTTTGGAGATTCGAAGTTGCGAAAAAAGTGTGAGATCGTGGAAGATCACGACTGGAGCCCTAGCCCTAGACCCCGTTTTCCTGCAGCATTTTTCTTGTTGGATCGATCAGTTTAGGCTCTGGGGCTTGAAGCCGTGCGAATAAGCCCAGCGTGAACAAATGCAACGTCCGGATCTCAGGGGAAATGATCGCCTGATGTCGGTCAGGCTCCCTCCCCATACTTCTAGCGGCTTGACTCTTCAAGACGAGATTCCTTGAGTCCTGGGCAACCTCCCGGGGACCGTTTTTGCGTCCTCGGCAGTTTTATGACGGGCCCAGGGCCTGGCGAAGTCCCGTTCCGAAGACGACGAATAACCTCCGTTCGGAGTGTGTGCGTGTGTATATATACACCCCTTTTTCATATGTTCTTATCAATCTGGACCCTGCGCCCCCCCCCCCCCCCGAAACGGGACCCCCGTGATCCGGGGCTCCTGGACGCCCCCATCAGAGGGCCCCCGCGAGATCTCCGGGCCTCTGGCAGTCCCTGCCAGGCCGTGGAAACAGGTCGGCAACGGTCCCAAGAGACCCCCAAGACGGTCCACTTGGCATCGCTCGGACGTGTGGAGTTTTCCTTCGGCGAGGACCATCGAGGAGCATCCTTGATCATTTGGCGAAGAAAACACGCACGAAACCGAAAGGAGCACAGGGAATGGACGTCCGAGCGATGGTCAGTCCAAGATGGCCTCCAGCGGCCCTGGACCCCCGCTAGGAGCCCGAAGACCGCCCAGATATCACCCCCAAGAGGCCCTCGAAACGCGGAGCAGGTTGATTTCCCGTTAGTTTTGTGTGATTTGGGGCTATTCGGTTAGTCGGTCTTCCGGGCATCCGCGTCCGCCCGAGAGGCATTGAAAACCGCTCCAAGACGACCAAAAAAGGGTTCCTGACAGTCCAAGAGAGCCCCAAGACGGCCCAAGAGGGTTCAGAAACTGCCCACAGAGGTTCCCATGACGGGCCAAAATTGCTTCAAGACGCACTCCGGAAGCATTACTGTGACCCGAGACTACGGTTCGCGGCATGGTGGCCCGGGGACCCCCCCAGAGGCCGCCAAAAGGAGGCGCCAGGGACATCTCTGGAGGCGCCCAAGGAGCCCCAAAGCGTTCGCGAGGTCCTCCAGAAGCTCGCATCGGAGGAGCCTCCGCAAACAAATTTGAGGAGGACGGGGAAGACTCGTGGCAATGAAGGCGAGAACGATGAAGAGAAAGAGGAAGAGGACACATGAGGGAAGGATAAGGAACAACAAAGTCAGGACGGTGATGGCGAAAACGGCAACCAACAACGATCGTTGTTTGGGTTGATCTACCTCTCTCTCATTCTGCATGCATGTTAGACGTGAGGACCAAGGTGCGTGGCGCGAAGCGCCAATGCGTTGTTGTGTATACACATGTATACAGATATTTATATACACATGTATATATGTGTGTGTACGTAGCACCCCGTAGTTGCGGGTAAGAGTGAGGGGGCGGCGGGGACGTCCGCAGTGTGCGAGGCTCTGCAGAAGCCCGCTGCAGGCGCATACTGCTTACAGACTGTGCAACGAGCCCGCCGCAGGCATCGTTTTTTTGTTAAAGCAATGTGGGATAATGTGGGTGGGTCGCGGGTTTGGTCGCGGGTGGCTCGCGGGTGGGTCGCGGGCTGGGTCGCGGGTGGGTCGCGGGATGGGTCGCAGGCGGGTCGCGGGTTGGGTCGCGGGTGGGTCGCGGGTGGGTCGCGGGTGGGTCACGGGGTGGGTCGCGGGTGGGTCGGGGGTGGGTCGCGGGCCAGGTCGCGGGGTGGACGACGACAGCAAACAACAAGTAACAGCAAACAACAAAGAACAATGCGCACCGCAGAACCTCATTTCAGCCACGCTCCCAGGGACAGTGAATGACTCTTCGGCCCCCTCACGCATATATTTACATATACATACACACATGTACACCTGAATGTCTGTATGCATGCATATGCATGTGTATGCGTACATGTATTTGTAGATGTCTATGTATGTGTATACGTCTACGTCTATGTATATGCCTATGCCTATGCCTATGTCCGTGTACATGTCCGTGTTTTATGTCTATATATATATAGATATATGTGTGTATGTGTCTAGTTGTATACTTGTATGTGTAAGAGGTGTTTATATATGTAATGTGTATGTATAGGCATTCGTATATATGTATATATGTGTGTGCAGGTGTGCGTAGATGTATATGCAGGTGTGTGCGTGTGCGAGTATGTGTATGTATGCATGGTGGCATTTATATGTATACGCATGGTTGTACGCATCTGAGTCTGTAAACAAGTGTGCTTAGATGCACGCAACTGTAAATTTACATGTATATGTATATGTATACATATACGTATATGTATATGTACATGTATATGTATATGTATGTGTATATGTATATGACTATGTATGTAGTTACGTACATGTGTTTGTGATGTGTATACGTACGTATAAATATGTGCTTGTGTATCTGGCATGTACTTGCGCATGTCTTCTTATAGGCATACTGTATATAGGTAAGCCGTATGCTGTATACACACGCGCCGGAGGTCTGGGCCCCTCCGCGCCTCGCCGAGGCCCCGCGCACTCCGGGCTGGCGGACGCTCGCAACGCGGCCCGCGTCGCCTTGGCGCTCATGGCGGACGGGGGCGTCTTCGCGGCGACGCCGTGCAGCGGGGAGGCCGAGGCCGCCGAGGATGCCGCCATGCGCCGTCCAGAGGAGGAGGAGGAGGAGGAGGAGGACGACGAATCGCATTCCGAAGCCGATAGTGACAGCGACGGGAGGAGGGGGAGGAAGCTCGAGGAGGAGGAGGAGGAGGAGGAGGAGGAGGAGGAGCAGGTGTGGAGAAGGAGGAGGAGGAGGAGAGGAGGAGGAGGAGGAGGAGGAGGGGAGGAGCTCGAGGAGGAGGAGGAGGAGGAGGAGAGGAGGAGGAGGAGGACGAGCAGGTGTGGGGAGAGCCGAGGTGAGGAGGGAGCGGGGAACGGGGAGGGGGGGGACGCGCAGCGCAGTCGGGCCCGGACCGGCGCCGCCGTGGGGCACCTGGGTCGCCGCGGACGGAGAGCCGAAAGATGGAGTCGACAGGTCCAGAGAGGCAATCAGCGGGTTGGGGGGAGGAGGAGGGGGGGGAGGAGGAAGGAGGAGGAGGAGGAGGAGGAGGAGGAGCAGGAGCAGGAGGAGGAGGAGGAGGATGAGGAGGAGGAGGAGGAGGAGAAGATTGAGGCTGCCGCGGCTGCGGCCGGCTCCCCCCCCCCCCCACCGCTCCGAGTCCGAGGTCGAGGAGGAGGCATGCAGGGTGCAGGAGGACGAGGCTGACTCCTCCTCAGCCGATAGGGGCTGAGGGGAATCCTCCCGGGAAGAAATGGCCAGATCATCCGTATTACACAGTCGTGCCCTGTACGTTCCCGACCCCTCCCTCCCAGCACGATGCTTGTCTTTCCCACAGGTAGGCCGTCGGACCCGAACTCCAAGTTTGCTTCTCCTACTTAGACATGTGCGTTGTTGGCCGTTGGGATTTCTGGAGGCCCTTACCGGGCCCCTGCCCAGGTAACGCGCAACTCAGGGAGAAAAAGCTGGCCTCGCAAAGGATCGCGGCTTCCGAGGACTGCCTAGATGGAGGGCCCAAAAATATACACCACCACCACCACCACCACCACCACCTCCCTCTCCACCTCCCTCTCACTGGAAAGAGGAGAGAGGAGGAATCGACGTGGTGGTGGTGTATATTCTTTGGGCCCCCATTGGACAACAAATCAAGACATCGCATGTCTGAGGAGGGGGGCTGCGGCGGCGAGTGGGCCCTGGATCCGGGCGCTGCATTTTTTTTTCGCACTGGGCGCTTCCGCCCGGCCTCGGGCCCCCCCCCGACTCTGGATCCGCAGTACTTGGGAGGATCCTTCGACTCCAGACTACAGGCCTCGAAAAAAAAGTAGGAGGAGGAGGAGGAGGAGGACGAGGAGGAGGAAAGGGGTCCTGAGAGAGACGCGGCCTGAGGCCTTCCGCTGCTTTGAGCCCCCAGGGGCCCTCCACGGGCCCCCGGGACTGTCAAGCAGGCGGCCGATCGGGACGAAGGGCCGGGACAGGCCTCGGAAAAAAATGGCGAACATTCATGCCACATTCATCTGTGAACGCCTCCCCCTCCCCCCAGTGTTCAAAGTTGGCGGTGGGTCTGATGAGTTGCACCTCGACCGCAGTCTCCCCCGCGCGTGCCAACCTTGAGTTTGGGGGGCAGGGGGGGTGTTCACTAATTGTTTCCCTCTACCGTACGTCGGTAACGCATTCCGCAGGATGCAGAACAGTATCGTGAGGGAATGTCCGCCTCATTCGAGTAGGGCGGAAATGCCCGCAGGATTTATGTGTGGCAAGCTGCAAGGCTGTGAAGCATGTCCACAAACTTGCTCACAAAGAAGGGCGGACATCCGCGGAAAGGAAAAGCAGGGCGGAAATCGATTTCAAAGGAGCTTGAAGAGTGGGGCGGGAATTTCCGCCCCACTTGCGACACCGACCAGAGTAGGGCCGATCCGGAGTCAGGGGAGACACGAGAAATCCATGCGAACGAGGCACTCCTGATCATCGCCCCAGGCCCAGCAAACCCTGAGATCCGGGCGTGCCAATCAATCTGCTCACACCGGGCGTTTTCGCCCAGTCTCGAGCCCTGGGGCCACCACAGAACGATCCAGCCTGAAGAACATAGCAGAAAGACGGGATTGGGGGCCCTGGTCGCGCTGTCTGGCGGTGTTGGAATTTTGCTTCGCGGCGTCGGCCGAGGCCGCACAAAGCGAGTCCAGGTTGTCAAACCGCCCTGTTCAGAGAGAGGGCTGGCAGAGAGAGGAAGGGGGGGGGCGCATCGATCTTGGTACAGTCGGGGCGCTGAAGAAGGAACCCTTTTCGTTGGGGAGGGGCTCGGTGTTCCTCAATTGTTCCACACCTTGCCCAATGTTTTCCTAAAGTTTTTGGTGGGAAGTCGAAGGTTAACTTATGACAAAAAGGGGCTTCGTTCCTTATTCAGGGTTCCTTAGGTCAACGCCCCGACTGTACTGCAGGTCAGCGACAGAGAGAGAGGCCCAGACATCCGCCAGCCGCGGCCCTGGAACCTCCGACCGCTTCCCCTGGGGTCTCGCTATATTCGACGCCGAAATCGACAAGAGTGGTCAGCGTAGGCCTGTGGAGGAGGAGGAGGAGGAAGAGGAGGAGGAGGAGGGAGAAGGAGGAGGGAGGAGGGAGGAGCGAGGAGGAGGAGGAAGAGGAGGAGGAGGAGGGGGAGGAGGAGGAGGAAGAAACATAATAATAAAAATAATAATCATATTAACAATAACATCAATAATAACAATAATCACAATAATGCGACTAATAATAGTAATACTAGTAACAATAATATTAATCATAATAATAAGAATACTAATAATAACAGTAAGAAGAAGAATAATAAGACAAATAATTAAAGGAAGGAGACTAATATTAATGCAAATGAGAACCACAATGCTACGACGAAGAGGAGGCTGCCGGCCGCCGCCGCGTGCGGCGGTGCCGTGTGTTGCGCCGCCGTTCGCGCGCCGCGCAGGAGGAGCCTCCCGCGCAGGAGTTGGCGGCCGAGGCCCTGGCGCTGCTGCTGGGGTCGCTGCGGGGGCCCGAGGTGGCGAGCGTCTGCAAGGCGGCGCCGCCACCGCTCCCCTCTCTCGCCAGGGTTAAGTCGGGCCTGTCCCCCTGCGGGGGGATTTTCGACGAAAAATAAAAAAGATACCCCCAAAATTATCAAAAATAATCCAAAAATAGTCCCCAGACTATTTTTGGACCATTTGTGGGCTATCTTTTATGCTTCGTAGAGAACCCCCTGTAGGGAGACAGGCCCGACTTAACGCCAGGGGGGGAAGCGGATCCTCAGGCTTCTCGCGGTTTTTCGGCTCCTGGGGCCCCCGCCATGGGCCCCTGGACTGTCAGAAAGGGACTCCGGACGAACAAGTGGTCTTGGGGGAAGGCCTCGGGGCCCAGGGCCCGTGTCCCGCAGGGCCCGCTTCCCCCATGCTTGTTCGCAGATCTGCGACCACTGGCGAACCCCACACTCTGGGCCTCCCCGATGGGATCGGCGCAGATGGGGTCGGAGGATCGCGCCGCATCGCCAATGCATCGGCGATGCGGCTCGATGTGAAGCCTGATTTTCTCCCCGCCGACGGCGCCGATGCATCGCCGACGTCGCCGATGCATCGGCGATGCGGCGCGATCCGCCGACCCCATCTACTCCGATCCCATCTAGGAGGCCTCTATCTTGCCAGATCTGCGGTCACTTACGATTAAGTCGGGCCTGTCCCCCTACAAGGGGATTTTCGACGAAAAAAATACCCCCAAAATAATTCAAAAATAGTCCAAACATGGTCTGGAGACTATGTTTGAATATTTGTTGACCTTTTTGGTGTATTTTTGGGGTATTTTTCATTTGTCGCAGACAATCCCCCTGTAGGGGGACAGGCCCGACTCAAACTTACGAGCCCTACGCACCCTGACTCCGGATCCGCCTTACTTGTGGGCGATTCCAGCAACGTCGATTTCCGCCCTGCTTTTCCGCTGCTGTTCTTGCCACACCTTGGCGGCAAGGCCCGACCTATTGCTCTGAAGCGGAAATTGCCGCCGGTTTTGGTTTTCGCATCGTTCGGGGTGCACTTCCGTCACAAGTCTCAGCCGGACGCTCAACCAAAGTACGGCGGAGTTGGAGTCAGGGACTTGCGACTTCTACCGTGTCCCTAACTCAGATGAGGAGAACGTGCCGATTCTGCTGCCCTTCCCTCGCTTTCGCCCTTCTGGGCCTTCCCCTCGTGGCCACGGGACTGGAGTCGCCTCGGAGCGCTTGCCAGAACACGCACCTGGGGAGAGGTCCGTGGAGGAGCGGTGTTCGGTACCTCTGGGTGTCCCAACTTCGTTAAGTCGGGCGTGTCCCCCTACAGGGGGATTTTGGGCTAAAAATAAAGCATATTCTGAAAAAATACACCCAAATGGTCAACACATATTCCAAAAATACCCCCAAATGGCAACAACAACAAAAATGTTCAACAAATAGTCCCCATATTTTTTTGGGTTATGTTTAGTGTATGTTTTGTTTTTCGTCGAAAATCCCCCTGTAGGGGGACACGCCCGACTTATAACGATCGGGTTCGATATATTTTTGTGATGGTAGGTTCGCCAGCGCGTGGGCCCCAAAAACAGAGTGCAGCCTCGGCAATCCGTGTGGTCCCCCTATTCTCCGGGGTCGTTGCCGCTCGCCGGTGGGCCGTGGGCGGGAATGTTGACCTCTTTTGCCTCGCCTCCCCGCGATCGTGGAGAGGCCCATCGGCACGGGCTGTGCACCGGCACGCCCCGTGCATGCATATGGGGCTGCCGTGTAGTGCCCCTCGCGGTGCGAGGCGCCGAGCGCTCTGGTACGAGAGAGCCCGCCCCCAGTCCCTATGTAGTCCTCCCTCGTCCGACCCTCCTTGGACTCCTGTGGAGCGCCGCCGCCGCCGCCGCCGGTGCACTCCTCCTCCTCCTCCTCCTCCTCCTCTCCCTCCTTCTCCTCCTCCTCCTCCTCCCTCCTCCTCCTCCCTCCTCCTCCTCCTCCTCCTCCTCCTCCTCCTCCTCCTCCTCCTCCTCCTCCTCCTCCTTCTTGTCGCACTCCTCATAGTACATGCTATCACAGGGGTCTGGGTCCACCGTGGCGGTGTCCAGCTCCCTCCTGCTGCATCCCTGCAGCTCCGTCTTGCGCTTCGCAGCGTGCACGCTGCGCGGTGCGGCAGGCCGCCTTGGGGGGTCGTCGGCTCAAGATGCGTTGCCCGGATGTGCGCGCGTTGTCCGACCTCGCACATCCTGGGTCGCCTGCCGTGCGCTGACCGTACCTCCAACAATTGCGGGGGGGGGACTATCACCGACCGAATACATGTTACAGACACTGTATGGATCTGTGTGTTTGGATGCGATCGCCCCCGATTGCATTTCACGCAAACCTGAAGCGCCCCACCTCACCCACCCCGCCTGTCGTCCTCGAGCTGTCGTCTCTCCTTGCCCCATGTCCTCCGCCTCGGACTCGGCCTCCCTGTCCCTGTCTCGTATCTTGCCTTGAAACCACGCGCGAAAATGCGCGGTTGGCTACCACACAGGCAGTGACGTGGCCGCGAGACTATATGGATCGCCCCCTACGCTCCCGCATCAGCTTGATGTAGTTAAAGCTGCACAGGCTAAAATCGAGTGGATACTCTCGACTTCCTCCTCCGCCTAACGCTGCTCGGTCTTACAGGTGGCTGAAACCAGCAGTTCGGCGTTGAGCACCGCGAGACATCGAACCCCTCATAGTACTGGCACTCCTCCCTCCTCCTCCTCCTCGTCCTGCTCCTCTTCCTCCTCAGTGCACTCCTCCTCCTCCTCCTCCTCCTCCTCCTCCTCATGCCCCTGCTCCCTCCTGCCACTGCTCCTCGTCCTCCTCGCCTTCTCATCGTCCTTCTCGACCTTCTCATCGTCCTCCTCGACCTTGACTCTCACCTGATATTCCTCGATCTTCTCATCGTCCATGGTACGGTCTCTCCTCCCTTCATCCTCCTCCCCCTTCTCCCGGTCATACTTCTTCTCCTCATGCTTATCATTTGTCCCTTCGTCGTTTTCATCGTTCGCATCCTTTCCTTGCTCTGCGCCCTAGTCCTTCAAGACTCTTCTCTTCTTCATAGTCCGCCTTTTCCTCCTTCTCCTCATCGTCATCCTCCCTATCCTCGTCCCTTGTAGCATTTCCCCCCAGAACTCCCTCTCAGGGTGATGTGTCTTCCAACCTTGGTGTGCGCGTGTTTTTTCGCATGTATGTTTGGCTGTGCGCAGCTGTTCGTGGTGTTTGTTACCTTGTCTTTCCACCATGCGTTTGGGACTGAACGCAATGACCCCACAGAGGATATCGCATGCCGTTGGCCTTCAGAGGCTGCACGCTCTCGTGCAACATCTACATATATATATATATATATATATATATATATATATATATATATGTACACAAGACTGCGTTGGCGCCTCGCGCCATGCACCTTGTTCCTTGTAGTTTCGAGTGCAGGCGGCGTGCGTGCGCGTGGACATGGGGCGGGCCACCGCCATGTCGGAATGGGTGAAGAGTTCTTAAGTGGGAGCGATTGGATAACATCAGCTGAGGTTAGCACAGGGCGTTTCGGGGCCCAGAGGCGCGAATCTGTCTTAGGCGAGTGGGTGAAGCACGGCATCCTCCTCCTCTTTCTCCTCCTCCTCCTTTTCCTCCTCCTCTTCTCTCGCTTTATCCTCATCCTCTTTCTCCTCTCTCCCCCTCTTCCTCTAATTCCTCTTCCTTCTCCTCCTCCTCCTCCTCCTCCTCCTCCTCCTCCTCCTCCTCCTCCTCTTCCTCCTTCTCCTCTAGACAGACTGGCCCTAGAGGGCCCAGATATTCGAAAATCAATTTTGGAAAAGCAATGTTTTCGGCCTTCTCGCCTTTTCGCTTCAGATCGGCTCGGGAGGCGTTGAGATAGCCCCAGGATGGCTCCAGAGAGGCGCAAGCCGAGGCCCACAGAGGCCCAAGGCTGGCCGAAGAAGGCCCCAAGAATCCAAAGTCAATGAAAACCATTGGAAAGAAAACAATGTTTTTGGCCTTCTCGCCTTTTCGCTTCTGGTCGGCTCGGGAGGCGTCAAGATAGCTTCAGGACGGCTCCAAATAAGTCCACAGACGAGCCCCAAAGAGGCTCAAGGCTGGCCCAAGAAGCCCCAAAAGTAGAACATCAATGAAAATCATGGGAAATCCATGCTTTTGGCCTTCTCGCATTTCGCTTACCATCGGCTTTTTAGGCGTCAAGATAGCCCCAGGACGGCTCCAAATGAGTCCCCAGACGACCCTCAAAGAGGCCCAAAGCTGGCCCAACAGGGCCCGGAGAGTCGGAAATCCGAAAATAATGTTTTCGGCCCTCTTGCTTTTTCGCTTCCGGTCAGCTCGAGAGGCGCCAAGATAGCCCCAGGATGGCCTCAGAGAGGCGCAAACCGAGGCCCACAGAGGCCCAAGGCTGGCCGAAGTGAGCCCAAAGAATGAAGAATTTGTGAAAATCCATTGGAAAATCATTGCATTTGGCCTTCTCGCCTTGTCGCTTCCGATTTGCTCTTGAGGCATCAAAATAGGCCCAGGACGGCTCCAAAGGAGTCCCCAGACGAGCCCCAAAGAGGGCACAGACTGGCCCTAGAGGGCCCAGAGGTTCGAAAATCAATGTCGAAACCATAGGAAAAACAACGTTTTCGGCCTTCTCGCCTTTTCGCTTCCGATCGGCTCGGGGGGCGTCAAGGCTGGCGCAACAGGGCCTGGAGATGGCGCAACTCGGCCCAGAGAGTGGGGCCCAAGAATGAACAAATGTAGGAAAATCTGTGAGAAAGCAAAGTTTTTGGTCTTCTCGCCTTGTCGCTTCCGATTGGCTCTTGAGGCGTCGAAACAGCTCCAAGACGTCTCCAATTGAGTCCCCCGACGAGCCCCAAAGAGGTCCAAGGCTGGCGCAACAGGGCCCAGAGGGTGGGAAAAGCAGAGAAAACGCAGTAAAAAAGCAATGGTTTCGGCCTTGTCGCTTTTTCACTTGCGGTTGACTCGGGGGGCGTCCAGACGACCCCAGGATGGCCACAGGGAGGCGCAAGACAGGCCCGAGGATTCGA